CTGCCCCTCTCCTCAAATCTGTGGAAGACTCAAGTCTGTGTGTGTAGTTGTGCATGCACACACTCCTAAACACTTCCGTTTCCTCCATGAGCCTGTCCCTGTCATCCGTGGAAGACTCAAGTCTGTGTGTGTAGTTCTGCATGTACACACTCCTGAACACTTCCGTTTCCTCCGTGAGCCTGCCCCTGTCATCCGTGGAAGGCTCAGTCTGTGTGTGTAGATGTGCATGCACACACTCATTTTACTTCCATTTCCTCCATGAGCCTGTGCCTCTCATCTGTGGAAGACTCAGTCTTCCGGTTGCTTCCAGGTGTTCGGTCCTCCAGAGCTGACAGCCAAGGCTCTTGGCAGGTGAGGGCCACATTCTGGTGTTGTCACCCAGCTGCCATTCACCTGGGATCCCTCCTTGGCCCTCTGGTGGGCCGGGTGGAGAAAGCCTGCCCCAGGGGATTTGTGGGGGCTGGTGCTTCCCCGAGGCCCTGAGCTCATAGGGTGCAGCTGCCACTTCTTGTCTGTCGGTGCTCCAGCCTGGCTGTGTCACGTAGCCCCTCAGTAGACTCTGGACACGCAGCCAGGCTTCCGTACCCCCATGTGGGGCCACCCCCTAGGCGTCCACTTCCTGGTGTTGGTCCAGGCTCCTGGCACTTCTGAAGATGCCCAGACCCTGCTTTGTATGCCACACCATGCTGCATAAGCACTGGCACCATGGCCACTTTCTCCCACATCCCCTCCAGTCCCTCTGCCTGGCTGCCCCGTGTTCTGGCAGGGCTCAGGGCCTCTGAGTTCTGCACAGACCAGGCAGGCATGGGGGCCGGCCCTGGGTGGCAGCACTGCTTCACCCCATCCTGATGCTGCTCCCAGCATGCCTTCCTCAGCCCTCTGCTCCTCTTGGCTGTGGTGAAGGCCAAGAGCTGCTTCTGACCTCAGCGCTGTGTGCAGAGCAGGGAAGCAGGACCCACAGGTGGGGGGAGGGCAGCCTTTGGCCGTGGCTGTATGGGATTGTGTGCCTATTATAAGCACCATGGGGGCGTGCGCTGGTGTGTATGTATAGGTGCACACGTGTAGGGTAGGTGTGCATATGTGCACGTGTGTAGGGGTGGGTGTGCATGTGTGAGGATGCACGTGTAGGACTGGGTGTGTACATGTGTGTGCACAGTGTAGGGGTGGGTGTGCACCTGTGTGAATGCATGTTGTGTGTAGGGGTGGGTCGCATGAGTGTGTGTGAATGTGTGCATGTGTATAGGAGTGGGTTGTGTGAATGTGTGCATGTGTGAATGTGTGCGTATGCAGGGGTGGTTGTGTGTGTGAATGTGCGTGTGTGAATGTGCATTTGTAGAGGCGGGTTGTGTGTGTGTGAATTGTGTAGGGGTGGGTTGTGTGAATGTATGTGTAGGGGTGGGTTTTGTGTGTGTGTGTGTGCATGCGTGTGTAGGGGCGGGTTGTGTGTGTATGCACGTGTGTACGGGTGGGTTGTGTGTGTGAATGCGCGTGTGTAGGGGTGGGTTTGTGTGTGCACGTGTGTGTAGGGGTGGGTTGTGTGTGTGTGTGAATGTGCGTGTGTAGGGGTGGGTTGTGTGTGTGAATGTGCGTGTGTAGGGGTGGGTTGTGTGTGAATGTGCATCTGTAGGGGTGGGTTGTGTGTGTGTGTGAATGTGTGTGTATAGGGGTGGGTTGTGTGTGTGTGTGAATGTATGCGTGTGTGTAGGGGTGGGTTGTGTGTGTGTGTGAATGTGTGTGTGTAGGGGTGGGTTG